CGCGGACCACACTCTCCAGACACCATATTTTCAACTTCTATACCTGATCGCAGATTGTGTCTTTACGGTAGTTCCAGGTGAAGAGCAATGGCGTAACTGGACTATGCTTGATTTTGCAAAATTCAATTTGTGATGAGATGGTAGAAGATTGGGAAGAGGGGTGAACTTCGCTTCAGAGAGGCTGCTCCAACAGTTTGAAGATCGCGTGACCTAGATAGAGAGAAAAGGGAAGGGAATTTGGACGTAACTTTCTCGCTTGAAAGCATTGCTTTCCTCTGCTTTGGCGCTCTGATATCGGGCATCGCTCTGGTATTGGGCGTTTTTGGAAATCGGAATTTTTCACCGTTTTGATGGGGGAGGGTTCGATTCTCGCAATCGTGAACTGCGATCATCTAGTGTCTTCTACGTAGGCTTCCCGAGAACTTTTCGAATAGCGGCTCAATAGCTAAATTATAGCGTCGGTAGTACAATCCGAAGGGATAAGGCACGTTTGGTACTTGTACAAAAATAGTAAGAGTGGTGCTATAAAGCGGGAAAAATAACGAAAAAGCGAAGTAAAATGTCAAAAGCCTGCAAAAAGAGCCTTTGTTGTGCACGGTATTGTACGAACGTTTTTGGACGAGTTTCCCTTTGGGATCGTGCCAACAATCGCTTTGATGGACACGGCTGCACCGATATCAATACCCATACTTTCTCCTTGATGCTGACGGGCGCTCGAAACGCTGCTGGTCGCTGGTAGTGACACGCAGCCTTAGGGGATGTGCTAGCAACGTGCTGAAGGAAAAAACTAGTGTAAATGAGTTCTATTGCACAGTGCTTATCATTTCCGAGGTACATATGTTTCACGAGCTAAGGCTTTTGTGAAACTGTCTTGAACCTGGCTGAGTAACCTGGCTGAATAGATCTCATCTGGACAGGTGAAATGACTGAGGCGATTATCTGGCTATATGTGAGAGATCCATCGATGCTCTCCCCTGTACGCACTCCATATCCCGGAGATGCGGAGGGCGTGGCTGCGTACTTCCTGAACTGGGGTAGGATGCGTTTCTTGTGACATATTTCAATTTGAGAAAACCGTCATCCTGACAAAGACATGCCTACAATTGTCCCATACGATAATAGCCGCCGCCCTGCCGTTCAAATGAAGTACGCAGCCACGCCCCCTCCATCCCGATGAGGGTCGCCCAAACTCTTTGCCCCATTGTTTGGCAGTATGTTCCTTCGACGGTCACTGATTTCTGTCCTATTATTCGCTATACTATTTCTGATCCAGAAATACCGTTTGTTGGTTCTGAATGTCAACATCTGGACATCTGAACAAACAGGGAAAGCAATCGCCATTTGGTCAGGGCTGTATAAAGACTCCTGACCATCCCAACCAATGGCATTTTCAGTTCCTATCGAATACAGCCTCCAAAATTATGTCCAACTTGTGGTATATACAGTCCATACAACTTATATTTATTATTGCCTCGACAGCTGCAGTGGCGGTTTTCGATCGGAACGCCAGCCGCCCATATGTGGTGAAAGATACCTGGGTGGAGAATTTCGTCAGATTCCAATATGTTTTCGAAGGAAAGAACGCCAAACCGAAGATCATGCCACTAGGTATGTTTATTTGTATTTTATTTTTGAGTCTTTTTTGGTAGTAGAACCCACAGTTGGATGGGGAGGGGGAGCACTAATGTAAGGCGAGGGTAGGCCGCGGTGACTCTGGGTGGTCTGTACACTTCAAGGGGTAATTCTGGAAAAAAGAAAGGATCTTCAGTGCTGCCGGCTACGGAGGGGGCATTTCGCACTTCCTCTAGTTCCTGTAGTTAAATCATGTCACCTAACAGGTTCCAAGTTGGGGAAACCCGTAAACTCTTGTAAAAATGCGAAATAGTACTACTGAGCCACTTTAGTAACAGGAATCTACAGGTCCTAAGGAAAATGTCCTCTATAAGCTTTTGTGAGTACCATTTGGTGGCCCACCAGGCCGTCTGCTCCTACCACCGATATAAGGATCCAAGCTGCGCCTTCTGTCAGTGGATTACTTGAGCCGCCTCGTGGCCTCCCATTAACTACATTGTAGCCTTATGTATTTTGTAGTATGGTATTTTGAGGTTGTGTGCCGACTAATCGAAATGATGGCGATCTATTGGAAGTCGGCAAGCGATTCACTGATACCGATTGTTGTGTTTGCATGGCGAACGAAAGCGAAGATGGGGTGATAAGTTATGACGCTTGTTGTGAGTTTGGTGAAAAGGCCTTCAAAGGCCTTCAAAAGGCCTATCTTGATCGCCGCTCTGCTCCCCCGACAAGAATGCTCAAATATGTCCCGCGCCCGTTTGAACTACCAAATCACATCTCGTTTGCCGGCGGTTCAGCGAGACCAGGTGTAGTAGATGGCCGTCTGGGCGCAATCTTCAGCGTCATGATAACTGGAGGTGAGCGCAGCAAAAGCTTGAAGATCGAGGCACATTGGGATCGGAGCTGAAACAGGTGTTTGGTATATACTGCATACGGAGCCAATCTCACAGTATAACTTGCCTGGGTCGGCCTCCATGTTACCAAGTCCGCAGCAGCTTTGGACGCAGTATCTTTGAAATAGTCAGCAGCCACTGGTTTTATACGGCGACCTTGGCATAATGAAGACCGACCCACGCAAGTTAGGCTGAGAGCTTGGTAGTACTGGGCACATTACTGCTGGAGCCTCAGTGACTGTCCATGAGCTGCTTAGTTTCGTTGTGTAGAGTTTAAAGTACTAGGTATAGAGCGTCAGCTACCCAGTAAATCCACCATACAAAAGCTAAGTTTCTCCGCGCGTCATCCCACTTTAGTTAACGTCCCATATTCCATTTGCCATGTCTGGTAGCTGTTCTAGCAAGAAACTAATGCAAGGACCGAACCGTTCGTACTTCTCCGCCCAGTCCGATCTTCGTACTTCTCGCCCAGTACGAAACTAGAGAATCTGCGAAAAAGAGTAGATGCAGTAATTCTCGCTGCAGGCGCTGGGGCGTGTGACGGGAGACGAGCTGGGTTCTGCTCGGCACCAGCCCGTTCTCCACCAGTGGTTGACGCGGGCAAGCGACGGCAATTGGTGGAAAACGGTCCCCCGCCGCGCTATACCTACCCCCGCTTCCGTTTCAAAACACCCCAACGTCAGCAGCGAGAACGAACACATACGTTGAATGATAAGTTGACCTGCGTTCATAGCTTGCGTGGAAGAATCGCCACTGTGGAGAGCAGAAAACAATGAATTGAATGGGAACCATTACTGAATTGCACGCTCTTTAAATCGCGAATTCTTCAGAATCCTCATTTGCAGAAGCAGTCGATTCCTATCTTATCTGACGCGAATTCATTCGACCTGGGCTCTCCATATCGATAGTAAACCTTCCTTTGCGCGCATTCTTTCGAATCGCCGATTCTCCAAATGTGCGGCTTCTCCTCGTCACCGAGAATCACCGCGGCCTCATGGAATCCATTTCAGCGTGCGTGGATATGTTCGGCAAAGAAATGATGCTTGGCGAAATGCGTAAACTGGCCAATGGCACCGTGATTCTTCACTGCAATATTTATGGTGGAGCGCTCAAAAAGGTCGTTGAACGAGGTTTGTTGAAATTTATAGTGGATTGCCTTGTGAGATAATGTGAAAGTATGTCTCTGCGACTTCCCTTTTTCCCCTTTCACGGCTAGCCACTCCTAATAGCCATCAGGGCGAGGGAAACATTTACAGATGCATTTTGTAATAAAAGGAGTTCTCAAGAGTACGTTCATACTTTGCGACAGCGTTTTTAGCGTAACGCAGCGTTTGTGCGTACGCCGTCATAGGCTTGCGTATACTCAAAACGCTGGATCGTTACCTATACTTAACTGAACGCTCAAAACGCTGACGCAAAGTATGAACGCGCTTCAACTTCAGAAATGTGCCAAGTGGATGAAGTGCGCTACCCAGCAATTCTTACTACTCCAAAGGGAAGATCAATGCACTTCACCGTTTTATTTAGCGGCTGGTTGCTTTTTCAATGACACGATCTACGGTGAAGAGCAATTATGGATAGAACCACTGATAAACGAAAAGAGAATGAGAAAGAATAAGGTGAGTTAATTGCTCTGGTAGCAGAATTTCAATGTTCACGTCACTGATACAGAATTAACACAGCTGAAACAACTGCGTAAATATTCAACCAGTAGAGAAGAACTTGAAAAGTTTAACGAACTGAACGATTCAAGTGAAAAAACAACAGAGAAACTATCAGAAAAGGATTGCGAATTCGTGCGCACAGATAGTCGTGCGCGAACCCACTAGCGACCGCGCTTCGTTACCTAATAGAAGATAATGAGAACTTGCCCAAGGGGGACAGGCATCTTGGTGGGGATGAACTGTCTCAGGTACAGTAATCCTATCCTTATTACTGTATTCCCAGCTTTAAACAAGGAGCACATCAAATGCCCCTCCCCTCCCCCCCGGGTTTATAAGAGCTCCTTGATATGACAGAAACAATGGTCGTCTTCTTGATGAACAGGACTAGATATTCCTTCTCGCTTCCTACCACGTTACGACTGGAGTTCCGTATTTTCTCTGAGCATAGCCGTTCGATTTTCAGAAGCCAAAGAAGATGTCATCGAATGCTAACGCGACACAATTAACAGGACGACTAATGGAATGTTTCCGTCCTCACCACAGTTACTACGAGAGCCATGTTATCGGTATGTCGTTCAAAGTAAAACATTTAACGACTTTCCCAAAATAAACCAGGCATTAATTGAAAGGAGAGCTGTGCTTCGGTACTGAGGTAGTTTTAGGACTATGCGGCGTCTCGAATGCGTCCGCTCTGCGCGCGAACTCTGGCCGTCTGCACTCTGCCAAGTTCAAACTTTGGAGAGAAGAAACACAGACGCAGCGCTGCGTGACCCCTCAAAGGGGGAGGGTTTTGGCGCTGCGCCAGCCAGTTTTCCACTGATTGTGGTCGCCTAGCAGCTTTCAAAATTGGTGGAGAACAGGCTAGCGACTAAGCCATGACACGTCCCAGCATCTGCAGCGAACAAAGCTCTGATGGAAGCTGTGCCCGTGACGCATCCATGATGCTGATCAGTGCCAAAACTAAATTGTTTGTTACCGTGCTCAGTCGCTCTGCTACATGGCCATTCAAAATAAAACTCCGAGAGCTTCTTTATTATATCGTTACCAGTTGGCTCGCCGGCGCGCCTCCTTCTTTGGTAGGGCCCACAACATGTATGCTCCACACTTCTCAACTAGCGACCCTTCGCTGACCTTAATTCACTTTTTTCCGGTGTCTGGAGTGCTCTGGAACCGTTTTACAGACTTTTTTGTCTGGCTCCGCCCACATCAGAGCAGATCCTGCCCACGACATGTGTGCCCTACGTTTCCCAACCGGCGACCCTTGGCTGACCTTAATCCGCTTTCTTCCGGTCTGTGGAGTGCTCTGGAACCAAGCTACAAAACTTTGAAATGACCTACGTTTAAGGACAAGCTCCGCTCGCTGTGACCGGATCTCACAAACCTCAAGCATGCCCAACTCTCGCCTGATGTTGCTCTTCTGCGACTCGACTTTGTGCTACTGATGGTTGCCCTTCTGGCATCGGCACTTTTGCTGCTATTTGCTAAACGATCTCGGGACCGAGCTACTGAATTTCGTCAGGCGAGCACCGCCAATCTGGAGTACGCTGCGCCACATTTCGTTGTGTCTCCAATCAGTCTAACAACCCATTGCTAACCCTTAGTCCCCATCTCTGGGCTACTCTGGAAACCAGCACGAAATTATGAATTAAATATTGTCTTAGCCGGATTGCCAGCAGCGCTAGCGAGCATGCCCCGCCCACGTGAGTGGGGGCTTCGCATTAGCGTCAGGTAGTGTCTCTAAATCTTGTCCCTACCCATCCCCCCCTGCGACGCATCTCATAAGTAGATGATATCCTTGGCGAATTCACAAAAACTGGTCCCCTACCCCAGCATTGATTAGCTCTGATTATCGTAACAGTAGTCTTTCGAATTTACTTTTCTATTAATACTCAGTCTTTAATTATCAGCTAGTATTGTCGTAGGCTGTGCCATTGCGACGCTCTTTGCGTGCTTCGTTTTGACGAATTCGTCCAGCTAAGTGTAGGACGCTACGCACAATGTGAGCAGGACGACACGGGCAATGTGAAACTGCGACCTGTGCAGCTTGACGGTTAGTCATTGTGATGCGAGAGCTACACTCTTGGTCGCAGTGGTGGACGCTCGGGCATTTCACGGAGAGTGAGGTTGGTTTGGCGCCAGCCTGTCTCCACAATTCGTGGAACTGGCAGGAGGGCGCCAATGCAAGCCCCTGGTACGCCCAGCGACCGCAGCCATCGGAAGGCAGTCCACTAAATGAATTTGTAGCAACTTTCATTATTGAGTCATACTTCCATTCAGATCTATCGTGTACGCACAACAACCAAAACCTATACCCATCTCAGCACATGGACGGATACCGAACGCGGAGCTCGATTTACATGTAATTATGGAAATGTCCAGAAAATAGGTACTACGCTCAGCTTAACAGATAGCGTCGGAATAACAAAAAACAGATCGCGCATTCGGGCAATGGGGCTGTGCATTTTTGCACTTGTTGCTGCCTTCACTAGTTCACGGTGCAAGTCTCAATCTGTGGCACATGTGATCTCATGTAAGGCTGGAGCATGCTCGTCGAGCTACCGTGGTAAAACCTATCTACTCCCTTAGGCCATGAAATAGCTCTCTAGGTGGCTCGACACGTTGAGAAGTAACAAAAGTGCCAGACACACCCATCCGATGCGCCGAAACTGACCCCAAAAAACGTGGGTAATGTTTTTTATGAGGGGCTACGCAGCTGGCGCGACGAGCTTCGCGCTTTCCCGAAAAAGACGCCCGCGCACGGACTCATGGTCCGTCAACGCCTGGGATAGAAGTGCGATTGGGGCAACTCCACCAGCGGGGGGGGGCAGGTGGAGGGGTGTATTTGGTCGTTGCGACGAGGGGTGGTGTTTGGGTCTTCACAGAAATTTTTCTGAGTCACGATTAATTTTAATTTTCCTGCTAGTGACCTCTGGTTGCAACTCCTCGCGGGTTTTTTACGCGTCTCGTGCTGGGGCTATTTGTGACTTTTTGCTGGGGTGTTTCATAGGGGTTGGGTTTGCCGCAGCGTCGCCTGGTTCCGCAACTGTTACATCCCCTGCCCAGTCCCACACAATCAGTGGAGAAACGCTGGCCGCCGCCCAGACCCAACCTCATCGAAACGAGCCCATTGTCAGCAGAGAACACAGAGAACAAAACTAGTGGCGCCTCCGGCAGAGTTCTCTTGAAGTCCTCTGCTGTTCTCGATAGATGCCTCCTCCTTCCACTATACGGCAGCTTTTTGATGATAAATCGAAAAACCCTTGAAAAAAACCTTGTAGATTGGGACAAACTGGAAAGATGGTAGACAGGATAGGGGACGGGATCGTACCAGATGGTGAAATTTCGTCCGGAAGGGGAGGGTCGCGAAGACACCACCATTTCACACATCGCGATGTATACCTTGCACCCAAGAAGATCTATAAACTGATTAGCATGGCCTGCATAGTCTTATTCATTTCTGAATATTCAAATGTAAATAAATAATAAGATTTTAGTAAAGCTTTACGTAATATTTTGATTGTTAATTCCTTACTACACTTTTCTTATCTAAGTTTAGATGGGGGGGGGTGAATCAAATAAGTAGCTAGCACTAGCAGAAGCAGCTTAGTCTCCGTTTCTTATTGTTTTGTAAAGCCGGTGCACGAATTTTATTGCGCTCTGACGCCAACTTACCACGTTTGCAGGCTGTTTCTTCAATGGCAGATCGTTCGGTATAGGCCAAGAGCTGCCGCTGACAAATGGGTGCACGTTTTTGTGTCATCCACAGAGCAACGTTTACGTATGTGATCAGCGGTTAGGGCAACTGGACTGTAGAAGAGAATAAGGTTCTGCAAGGACCAGCCGATAGAAGGCTTTCATTGAGCCTGTGATCTATGTATGAAGGGATCTTTATCTGTATATTTGAATGTATAAATTTTTTCTTCACTGTTTCTATGAACGCCTACGTTCTTTTCTATACAGTCTTGCTCACACAACAAGCGCCGGAGCGTGTCAGGGGGCTGGATTCGGCGTGGCGCCAGCCAGTTTTCCTAAATTGTGGTCACCAGCCGGCTTCCAAAGCGGAAAAGGGGCTGGCTCCGGCCAAACTCAGTCCTCCTGACACGCCCTGGCAACCGCAGCCAACGAGACTGTACTGTCAGAAATGTCTAAATGAACCTGGTAAACGAATAATAAACCTGGCCTTTCACAGTGAGGGATGGAACCTTGCGATGCCTCGCGACTAAGTGCCCACGGTCGCCGCTCACACTCTATATGCCGGAGGTGAGGTGGCCTTGACCGCGTACTTCATCTGAACCTGGCGGTGCATGTGCCTTCGGTGAAATAAGGCAATCGGGGCAATTGTAATCATGGCTTTGTAGAGTACAAGACAAATAACAGTCGTCTCAAATGGAGACAGGCCACGCTCTGCACTGCGGGAAAATTTTTGCAAAGTATGACCACCCCCGTACGCTAAAGTTCTTCTGATATAACCCTCCGCTCCCCCTTTTCCATCTTTCCAATATTGGTCAACTTTTTACCACTTCCTACTTTACCCACGCCTACAAGTGTAATCCTTCAATATCAGTCAAGAGGAAAGCCACAGGCACTGACTCCTCTGATGCCTTCAATCAACATCAGAAACAATAAAAGTATTGCGCAGCCAAGTGGAGGGAAATGGCTGTGCAGTGTGCCTAAAAAGGCCCACTGAGGGGGGATTCCCCTTCGTCGCTCAAACAACAAGTTGAATTTCAGGCGTGGCGAAGGAGCTGGGCACCGAAATACTGCAAGGTAAATGGTTTTCAAAAAATTCGGAGACTTTTGGTGTCCGTTGAGTTTTTTTTTCTAATAAACGCTTGGAGCTTCACGGTGTTACCAAACATTCAGACGGAATTTTCGTCAACCCACATACGACCCCCTCCCATCAACGAGTGTCACGATTCTCCCGTCAAGTATTCCTTGACGTACACCTGGCCTTACTCCATAATCGTCAGAGGTACGGAGATTCCACGCTTTCTAGGGCACTCAGCCCCTCCCGTCGCCTGAGATTTCCTGGTTTGTGTTCTTCCCAGCACATCATACAACGTTTTTAAAAAC